AGTGTTTTAGGAAAGTGCATTTTTGTCATATAATTACCTACATACACAATTTGTTTGTTTGTAAATTAATTATACCATTCTTAGCATTTAAGTTAAAGCTTAGTATAAAATATCATATTTCTAGACTTAGTAATATTGATTTAAGGGGTAATTCATCAGTTTCTCTCTATGTACATTAATTAATTCTTTACACATTATATGAATTTGTGGTATTTCGTCAAAAGGAAAAAGTTTGGGGGCGTTTTGCCCTTAATTCATCCAAATATCTTATACTTCTAAATATAAGAATCTCTAAATATAAGTACTTGCTTAAACAGCTACTGGTGAAGGTGGAACCTTTGTCAGATGCTGTTTCTAATTACGTTATATACGACATTTAATTATTAATATTACATTATAATTTTATTAATATGGAAATAAAGATAATTAATTAAATAAATTTTACTAACGATGTAAGATAAGCTCGTCACCGTTTACTATGAGTACTTTCTATGTTTACCACAAAGATAATCTCTACTTGGTCTATAAATACCTTTCAGATATTGCAATCCTGAGATTATTTATATTTTAATTTTCTCTAACATTTGTCAGTATATTTAGCAAATAAAGTAAGGGTAAAAGTAATTCTACTTTTTCTTTGTCAAATGTAGTGCAAAACGGAAAGTCTAACAATAATATGTGGGACGTCACTGGAAAATGTACGTAAGTAAGGCTGAGTCTGACACGAGTATGAAATATTTGGGAAAATGCTGGCCATTTATAACTTTATACCGACGATTATACTCTCTACAATTCATGGAGCTATTCATGAAACTTAACTAGGACACTATGGAAAAAAAATATGACTGCTTTTATTAATATTGGGAAATATAAATATCTAATATGTTATTAAAACTTAAGATTTTGCTATACATAATAGTTATTTTAATCGTAGCAAAATAATATGACAATAACCTTATCAATTGAAAAGTAATTTAAGATAATTGACTCATAATTAAAGAATTCATCGAGTAACATTGATGTATGACATTTAATAAATTTTTGGACTATTTTTATGACATGTCATGGATACGTATATAAATTTCTATAAATGTAAATGCTGACTATTATTGGAATTCTCATAATTTAACATTCATTATAGTTTACTGTTAAGTTTCGTAAGCACACAATATATTTTAATTTACCGGTTTAATTTACTTATACTCGTAATTAGAGTGAAAAAGCTCGACTAGTTTCAGAATCAATTCGTGATCCTCAGTCATGAGTGACTGTGACGCGAGCACGAGCCTGACTGCATTATATTATGTTTTAGAGTCTAAAATAGTAGAATTCCAAGCTTTTTTTTTATATAACTTAGAATGGCAAACATACTGACGGCTCACCTGATGGAAAGTAGTAACTGTCGCCTATAGACATGAGCCATGGACATAACAGAGTATACTGTTTCGCCCATGATACCCCCCCATGCGTTGCCATTCCTGGGGATTCAGGTGTTATTCCTCTGTACCCAGTAAATTCACACCATATCCCACTCTTCAAACCTAAACACAGCCATGCAAACACAACTGCTTCACGGTTGAAACACGAATGGGACAGAGGTACCAAAGCAATCGACTTTTGTACAAAGTCTCCCTCTGGTTACTACCACCTGGTAGCTACTAATCCCCTGATAGACAATTAGACATCATTGGCATACAAAACAGGGTTTTATGGAACCCTATTAATGAATGCAAGATGGAGAGATATCACAGTGTTTAAATATTTACTACACTAACTAATCATATTAGTAAATGTTAGTGAGAATAGTTACGGAGCCTTGCCCTGTCAGGCTCTTGAGCGATTCATTCATTGTATATTCAGTGGTAAGTTTATGTCAAAACACTTGAGTAGGATCCAGGGTTTTGTTTAACAAACATTAATTAGATTTTTAGGTTGGTTACATTTTGTTTGTAAAAAGAAAAAACTGATGGAATAACTAATGCATAATTGCAAGTAGTGGAAATAAAGTGCACTCGGATTTCTTTTTTATCCAATTTAAAATGACAGTTAAGCTGATAGCTTACCTGGTGAAAAGTAGCCGACGTTTATAGATATATTGGCCAGACTGAAACTGTAAAGTTGTATGTAATTGAAGTTTTGTTTTCTCCTTTAGTTACTTGGTTATAATTTTTTTTTAGTTTGCTTTCATTGGAGTATTGTTTTATGTATTTAGTTATTCATTATGGTTGCCAGTAGTGAAATGCAATACTCTTATCACCTCCATATCAGTTTCATAAATGCATAAGATCGCTAAGAAATAGTTTTTAGAAATTCCCACTGGAGCGGGTGATACTTAATGTTTTCGCGTGGATAAAGTTGCGAAAAAGAGCTCGCTTGGGTTTATTAGTTAATTTATTGACATGTTTAAGCGACTCTTAAAAGGAGAAGTTTCTCAGTTCGTCTGAGTTTTACAAATACTGAACTGATGAATTATTGACAATTGTTGTTGTAATTAATAGGGTTTATTTATGTTACAGATAATATAATACTATAGCTCTGGCGTCAGTATATTAATTTTGTGACAAGTAAATTTGCCATTTTCTTTTGGACAGCAAAATTGCTTGTTGTGTAGTAAAATCGATTTACAAAATTTCAAATATATACAATGTAGGTATTTACAAAGCATATTGTCGTTTATCAATGTATGTGTGAATAATTCATATTACTTTTTTACGTAACAAAATGTACATGTTTCTATTTTAGTATGTATAATTTTGACTTGAAATTGGAATGACCTAAATTCGATACCAAATACAATGGCCCACACATATGATATGCTTGGTTAAACTCTATTCATGTCATTACCAATAAGTAGTGAGTGGCGGTGACTGTTCGTAGGCAGTAAATACACGAAATACAAATACGTTTCGTCAGTATAATTTTAACTTATATCTATCGTCCACTGCTGCACAGATTTCTTTCATGTTTCACGACAAAATATAGATTGGAGTTATCTCACTAACTTCCTGCTTTAGAAGGAAATATTTTTACACTTCGTTAAAAAATAAGGTATATTGGAGGAACCCTGTCGTAAAACGAAAAATATTCCGTGTATACAATATGGTATTTTATGACTGAAAACTGATAAAGCAATTCTGAATAGGTATAGATTGTAAACAGACAATTTAGATTCTGCATACATTATACATTTTGTATACTTATTTTAAAAATCATGTTTTGTATTTTGTTAACAACAATTAAACTTAAAGACACACATATATAGGCTAATCTAGGTTGTATGTTGACGATACGTCATTTTTGATATTTCTGATTTCATATACTTATCTATTTAGTCTCTTCTATGTAGTCCCGAGATATAATAGAATAGGCCACCTCTTACCTTCCCGTAGGAGTCGTAAAAGGTGACTAAGGGAACTTAATGGTCGAGGGATGAGCAGCGGTTCTCTTAAAAGATCACCAAAAGCCTAATTGCGATTGCCAACCTGCCTGCCAAGAATGGCAACTACTAACAAAGCCCTCCTTATATGCAAGGCTTATGTTTAGCAGTGGATAGTTAACGGCTGATATAATGATGATGATATGATGATACTTATCTACATTGAAATTAAATATCTAAACAGAATGTTCAATTACGTATTGCCAAAATTCTAAATATAAACATTTCGATTTAAAATATTCATACCGTATTAAAAACTAGTTCACGAAACAATGCTGGCTGAGTCATTCTTTGTTTGTTGTAGCTTGTAAATATTTAAGGCGATGAGTATTCACATTTAAATAAATTCCTAAAGTTGACACAAGTGCAATATTTCTACCTTACTTATCAGTATTCGCGTATGTATTACAGAAACAGTTCTAGGTGAGTGTATAAGTATGTGCTGTATTCTCGTCAGGCGCGAGCTATTCTCTTTGTTTCAGGAATCACATACAATATGTAGCGGTTTGGGAGTGGCGGGCGTGGATAATGCGCCGGATCGGGCACCTCTTCAGCGGAACCACATGTGAAGGCGCTTACTAACGTGATTTGTTATAGGTAATTCAGTAGAACAGTGAATATTTGCGGGGATTCGAGACTATTTGAGATTGATTTCCGATTTTCGAATGTCACTGGGGTATTGAAGTTTGTTTTAATCTTGACAAATAATAATTCTATGGTATGAGTCAATTACAACATTTTATATAAATGATATTTATTTAAAGTAATCGTCATCATCGTATTGGTTGTTAACTGTCCACTACTTAACATATATTCCCCTATAAAGGGGGGATTTACCAATAGTTGCCACGCTTGGCAGGCGAGTTAGCAAGCGCAGTTAGGATTTGATGATGTTTTAAGAGATGTTTCAACCATTAAGTTTCTAGTCGCCTCTACGACACCCACGACAAATGTAGGAGTAGTCCATTCTATATCGAAACTACACAGCATCGAAAGCCATTCGAGTAACTATATGTTTAAAATCACATGTAAACATGTAATTAAGCTTCCTACATATATAATTAAAATATATTAATATTTATGCGGTTACATTTATACACATCTTAATTTGCAATAATGGCATATACGTTGATGGTAACTGTGCATCATCTGTAAACATAAATAGTATCATGGAATTTCGCAAACATACGAAGATACCCATGTATGAGTAGTATTTCTCATGTATCATTACCGAGGCCCAAGATTATATTAATGATTTATTCGTATGCAGTAATTGCTTTGACACAATCTAACTGAAACGATGTAAGCACAGGTCTTTGACGGAAGACAAGTGAGACAGAGGTATGCATGTAAATTAATTTTGTACAGTTTTTCATAAGTAAACAGGACCAGGCATACCAGGAAATTTTCTTTTACCCGATTATAATGAATTTAACCCGTTTCGGATATCTATATAATACTTTTTGGGCCGTACGCTGCTCAAATATGTTGCTAAATTGTCAAGTACATTTATAGGTTGCTGTCAACCAGTTTACTTGCTTTGCTATTTAATAAAGGTACTCACCAGGTACGTGTTCTTCGTTGAATGTGACGCGTACGGCGTGAGGTCGCTGAAGCCGCGGCGTGAACGATGCGGCATATCTATGACCGCCCAAAGGACGGACAGAACTCGCAACGAGGGCACCGTTACCGCCTGATACTTCGAGTTCTAAATGACCTGGCCTGGCATTGCTGCAGTCCACTATAGGAGGAAAAATGTTTTTTTGTAGCAATCATCAATGTAGCAAAATTGAATTTCAAAAAGAGAGAGCTAAGGTATTCAATACATTTTTCGTTTTTTCATATTTAGTATAAAATATCGAATAAGATGATAGTTCTTACTCAATGTAGTTTTTTTCGTGTACATGTTATCGTCCATTCTGAATCGATTTTAATAATTCTTTTTGCAAACAATAGTGTATAGATACTGCAGCGTTGTTCTTATAGGTATGTTTATCACGACGATTTATTAGAGTTGCTAATGTTTCGTAGAACAATATTTTTATCTAGATAGATCTAGTTCTACTTTAGCGCTTTAAGTTTAGACGATCAGAATACTCATATGACGTAAATATTAACGCATAAAATTATACATAAAATTTTCTTATGTATTATTACATTGAAAATATTAATAATAAATCACTTAACCAGTAACAAATATATTTTACAATGACAACGTGTATAATTGTGGAAAAGGGATTGTTAGTAATGGAGACTAAAAACTCCATTGCTAGCAGTATACCCAACCAGGTCGACCTCCTCGTGGTTATCCTGGAAACTATCATGGTTAATTCCTGATGGATTCATTATGACGGGCTAACTGGCCTGTTTTCATTCTCATCTATCACCCTTCACTGTTGCTCCGCCAGCGTATCCCGTTAGCGCAGGCGGGGTTACCAATCCATTTTCACCCATAAAAAAAAAGTCTATAATTTCGTTCGTTTTCTATTTCCTACAATATTTTTAAGCGTTCACCTTCCACTCTTAACAGTCAACGTCTTTTTGTAAACGATAATTTATCATGTAAATTCTTTGTTTTTAAATAAATCAATAACTGATTGCTAAGTAGACATAATTTTTAAATATATTTAAAAAAATCTAATTGATTAAATACAAATTGAATGAGTATCTTTGTCTATCTAAATACAAAAGCGACTTACAGATTAACTATATAGATTTTGTAATTGCTTCTTGTCTATTTACAACTTCTGAACAGATTTCACCGAGATTGTTTATCTCAAAGTGAATAATGGAAATAAACACTTCTTTACCTATAAATTCAACAGGTTGTCCCACCACACCTCTGTAACTCGGTTTTACGACTACTCCTTTGGCACCTCTATTGTTATCCCTTTGAATTGATCTGCAACAAATAATGCATTAGTATAGTGCGCTGTGGGACGTCAGTGATTCCGAATTGCTTTTGTTACCTTATCTATCTATTTTATTACACGATTGCTGACAATAGAAGGGTAATGTTTTCCGGACGTGTGTAAATAAGTCCTTGTCAGAACTTTTGTGTAATATAATGTTGTAGAATATTAATAAATGGAGTAAGATTCGATATTATTTTTTAATAGAATAAATATGGTGGTGCTAAACTCGCAAAAACATACGGATTTTTTATGATTTTGTTGTATTTTTTTTATTTTTTTATACAACTTAGAATGGCAAACAAGCTGACGGTCAACCTCATGGAAAGTGGTAACCGTCGCCTATAAACGTGAGCAGTACCATGGATATAACAGAGTATACTGTTTTGCCCATTATACCCCCCATGCGTTGCCATTCCTGAGGACTCAGGTGTTATTCCTCTGTACCCAGTAAATTTCACGCATATATACATAAATAATATTTATCACACAAAATTGTATTAAAAAGTTGACCCGCGTTTCTCGAAGCACTTATATGGAGACACTCTATCTATATAATCTAAGGTACATACGGATATATATAAAAGAGAAAGACAAAATAGTTCTTTTATATTTTAAATGTTTCAACGAAAATGTTCACATTGTGGATTTTCCACATCAAGTCCTACACTTCAGTTCAAGAATTTCTATAATGACGATATTTTATTCGAGTTCTATTGTAGAGGAAAGAGGTATAAAATATATCATTTTCTGCAAATAGTGAAGATGAAGGTGAAGTAAATTAATTTCGATTGTATTCGAAATAAAATGTCCACGGAGTCGTGCTTCAGCTTTTCCAATGTTATATGTTCATTTCGCAAAGAGAGTACTTTATTTATAATAAAAATAGTCCCGATAGTGGAAGGGTGGGTGTAAAATTTACAACGTCGTGAAAACGTCTGCTACGTTCAACAGATTCATATTTTCACCCGAGACTGAAGTTATTGCGTTCTTGTAGTTTCTTTCATTTGAAAATGGAATTCGGCAGAAACGACATAAACAGAGAAAGACAATTATGAAAACTGGAGATTGAATTTGAATTTGTAGACTATAATATAGTATATGTATATATTCTGTAAGTTTACAATTAATCTGTAGGTATATAGTCTACACATTTACGTTATTTCTACTGCAAATTTTACTATGCAATATCACTTTCAGTTTAATTTCAACTTCTTTTACTATTATTGTGTACATTATAATTATGCTATCTGATTTAGAAGAGAGAGAGAGTGGAGAATGTACAAGCGATGTACTAATGTATATACAGACAGGCTCGTATGCCTTTTTTGCGAAGTAGTCGCAAGACACTTGATGAGGAAATAGGTAGGATGATTCGGGATTAGAATATTATTCTGAGTGATTATCTTATAATATTAATAGTCAATAATATTAATATATATATACCTACTCTGAATAATACGAACGTTTATACTCTAAGATACAAATGTTTACATTACGAAAGGATCGAACCCCTAATCATTGGAAAGTGTAATCAGTGTGTTAGTTGGCATTTATTAATTATTTGAGGTTAAAATGGGAGAGGGTGGAGGGAAGGTCAGATTTCCGCCTTATAAATGAGATTTGGTGATGAAATCGTCTTTTTTATTATTATCTTATATAATTTCTTTTTTTTTACTAAATAACGACAGTCTAATTAATGAATGTTCCTTTAAACAATAACACCATCAATGTCATCATATCTATTAACTTTCAGTAAAATAGGTATATATTAAGTATACCAGTAGACAGAAGAATAAAAGAACAATGATCAAATTAGATACAATAAATATAGAAAAAAAGAGTTTTTAAAAATATATTAACTTATTTAGTAATTTTTTTTAAATAATAACACTAACAAGTAATTAAAAATAGTGCAGAAATTATACTGCGTTATCTAGTCCCAAGCTAAACAGAGATTGTACTTCGTATTAGGCGATTGAACGTCGTATATATGACCAGCAACACTAGAAGTGTAAAATTCTATTTTTTATCTTTATACAACTAAGAGTAGCAAACAAACTGATCGACAGTTTTAAAGTTTTTATTTATCTATCTATTTAACGATCACTTGTGATGAATACGACAATGAACATCACAGAATATATAGATAAAACTCTTCATGTGTTGCTATTCCTGAAAATTATAGTGTTATGATGTTAAGTCATCAGAGTCGTTTGCTCTGTGTTATAAAAAAGGCATAGTATTATAAAGTGAGATATGACAGTGAAATTACAGGTTACGAAGTCAACCTTTCATGTCGAAATACTGCCATACAATCACAGTTGCTTTACAGCAGTAAACACAAGTGGGACAGGGGTACACAAGTTAATAACTTTAAGAATTACCTGAAACGTGCGTGAGCGGCGTCCGTTTCAGTTCGGGCCCCCCCGTTCGGGTCGCGGGGGGGCCTATTGGATAAAAAAGACTGCTGTTGTTGTTGCTGTTGCTGGCGCTCCTCGACGCTGCTGTACGATGAGTCGCGCACCACGTACGAGCTTTCACGCACTTCGCGTTTGAACTCTTGCTGCGCGTGCGCATACAAAAAATATCATTAGGTGTAAATTTACTATGTATATTCCGTGGCTTGTCTGCATAAACTAGTGTATAAGGTACCCTATATATTTAGACAACCGAGCTGTGTACTAAATTTCATTAAAATCTATTTAGCTGTTTAATTTTAATGGAATAACAAACATACAAACATCTTTACAAATATTCAGATCTTACGAGTACTTAAAATTTTTTTTAGTTAGGTTTTATTACTATAATTAAAGATTGTGTCCCACAAAAAAACCGACTTCATTTATGACAAAACTAGTTATTTTTATTTAAAAACTAAACTACCAAATCGATTATGATAAAAATTTGATGGGACCAATCTGTAAGTATATCCACTCAGATAAAAAAAGAATTTCCAAATTGGTTTAGAACTGACGAAGTAATGAAGTAATAATCATAAAAAAAAATACAATCGAATTGAGAACCTACTTTTTTCTTAAGTGAGTTTAAAATATCTAATTATAAATTAATTACCTTCCTTTTAGTTTTTAAATTTTTAATGTAATAGTATTAAATCTGTCAAGGTATAAAATAGCTATTTAATTGCATTGTCTGAAGGTTATATGCTAAACTCTTAAATTGTGTAGATAATCTCTATGACTTTTGATGAATAAACTTGTAATATATCCAACTCGAGACCATCGTTAATGGGAGGCAACTAGGCTAACTTGTTAATAGTTTACAAACTGTATTCACTCACTCGACTAGTGTAGGTCTCAGAGTCGCGATCGTCTGCGAGCCGGTCCAGTTGTCGGTTGAATGAATCGCGCGAGAAGTCACTGAATTTGTTTAGTTGCGTGTTGCGCTTCGTCTCTCGATCCAGGGTACTCTGTCCGTAGCGTTCGGGAGTACTGGTATCCAAGCTGCAGAAATTCCACTCTTTACAGTACATATGATGGTTCATCATATTGATAAAAAAAAAATATTGTCAGAGCACTAAAATGCATTTTATTTTAGATATTGTACTAGCTACATTGCAATAACCCAAAATAATTAAATAATAAATAAATAAATAAATATATACGGACAAATCACACAGATTGAGCTAGCCCCAAAGTAAGTTCGAGACTTGTGTTATGGGATACTAACTCAACGGTACTATATTTATAATAGATACATATATATAGATAAACATCCAAGACCCAGGACAATCAGGAAAAGATCGTTTTCCATCATGACCTGGCCGGGGATCGAACCCAGGGCCTCCACGTCGCAGGCAGGCGTGTTGACCGCTGCGCCACGGAGGACGACAAATTGTTTACATTTTTTCGATATCAATTAGGTGGTACATTATTATATGTTTAATACTTTAATACATAATTATTGGATTCTTATCACGATTATTTATTTATTAATTATTACTAATTGATTTCTTATTATAGTTATGGTAAAAATGCTTCAATCATCCGTCAAACTGCGAAAATCTAAAAAACTTTAATATTCATTTATGGAAATATATAGATAGCCCGAATTGAAACACAGACGGAATTTAAGTAATTTATTCAGTTCTTACAAAAAGAATATACCGTGTATTCGTAGTGACGGAGTAGTAATACGATATTATACAGTCACCCCTTTTCATCGTTAGGGGAAGAAAAACATTATACTAAACTTCTTGGAGAGCTTTGTAAAATAATGAATCAATACAAGTGTCCTGTTTTATGGAGAACGATTCATGTTCAACGTGCATTATGATCGTCGAAATGAGCATGCATACGTTGTATACTTTTTGGATATATCATCACAGTGTAAGGAGTACTCGTATTCACAGTAGTTTTTTATACTGTAATATATACGTATGTACCGTGTAGGTCCCAGCATAGAATAGTCCATCCCTTTCCTTCTCGTGGGTGTCGTGAGAGGCAACTAAGGGCGTTTATAGTGGAGAGATGGGCAGCAGCGTTACTCTTAAAACATCACCAAAGCCTAACTGCGGTGGTCAACCTGCCAGCCAAGCGTGCTAACTACTGGCAAATCCCCCTCTTACGGGGGAGGCTTATGTTCAGCAGTGGAGAGTTAACGGCTGATACGATTTCTGTATTAATTAATAATGCGTACGTGATTAATATGTACCATTACATTGAAAATTTTGAACGTAATTTTTATGAATGACTACATTTTAATAAATTAATCATATCTATAGAACTGAAATAAATTCATTGTGCATAATTTTGTGCTTTATTAATCGAGAACCGTACTATTCAGGGAGTACAATTTAATTTTGTAGCTTATTATTGGACATACGGAAAGAATTTTAAGATAAATGTAAAAATAATATCTTACTGTTTACCTGTTAGCACTCATCATCTGTCTTGTCTTCTCAACAGAATCCCAAGAGTCTTTTCTGCCAACATAAGGTTTCCCTCCAGGATCACCCGTATCTGAAAAAAGGTATTGAAAAGGTGAGAAATGGGACTCGAACTTTGTCTATACTTTTTTTTTATACGAGTATATTAGATGATATTACCGTCAATTCTATTATATGTCAACATTGAAGTAGATCTTTTGTAAATTAAAAACTTATTAATTTTGTAATATTTTACATTATTTGATAACAATACTTTATTTTTTTTTTTAAGTGTCACACACTTACATCAAAAGCTTGGTATTCAAGCTAAGATAACCTATGTTGTAAGGAACCAGGTAACAAACATTTGGAGGTGCAATCCAGAACAGCCAGACCTGATCCAATTTATAGAAAAGTTTGTTTTCTAAATTGGATCAACTGGGAATCGAACCCGGGAACTCGTTAAAGCAAAGTAAGTAACTTAAATAAGTAAGTAAGTTAGGGGGAAGGGGAAAGGAATTGTTAGTAATATGGACTACTAGTCCCATTGCTAGCAATATGCCCTGTCAGGTCGATCTCCACGTGGTTCCCTTGGAAATTACTGTGTTGAATTTTAGGTATATTCATCACTATAAGCAAACTGACCTGCCCTTTCATCCACACTTATCACCCCTCACTAGTGCTCCGCCTGCGTATCCTGCTAATGCAGGCGGGGTTACCATTCCATTATCATTCATTAAAAAAAACGAAAAGTAATGTGCCGACCACTGCGCCATGGAGGCCGTCAAGCCTATACTTAGTGGAACTGTTACATAAACAAACTTCAGAAGAAAACAAACTTATCTCGTGTGCCCGTGGCAACTTTGGGAAATTCTTTTTTTAATGCTTACTTGCGTTATTTATAGAACTCCCGTGCACAATTTCATGTTTCCAGAACTACCGTATCAGTTGTCTGTCAGTCACTGTCTACCATTTTATTAAGGAGAGAACAGTGTTGTATTAAGGAGAATATGACATAAGAGAATATTACATTAAATTGTAGTGCAAGTACTAGCTATATTATGAGATGATGTCTTACTAAGAATAATCCCTATGGTTGACTGGGAGAGATGCTTTTAGCATTAAGTCCGTCATGTATACATATTTGCACTATTGAATAAATAAATAAATAAATAAAAAATAATAAAAACATACCAAGTAACAGAAATCAATTAAACAAGATATATAAATTAATATAAAATATTGTAAAAACAAACACACTTTAATTTTGAAGAAAAAAAGTATGGAACAATACGGAAATAAACCCATTTAATTAAAACATAATTATTAAAATCGGTTGAGAATTGGTAAAGATATCACAATAATAAAAAAAAAAAACAAAAGAGTTGAAAACTCTTATTTTTTAATAAACACTTATCAGGGCTGCTGGGCCACGTTTCAATGACGAATAAGATTCTCTTAGTTTAAATTACATTGAGAGCAACTGACAACTACTTACGGAAAAAACAGTTGAGAACCACCACTTTTCAAATAAAATAATTACTTACTAGGGCTCCCGAGTCTTCTGACATGATCAGTTTCCAATGATGAGTATGGACTTCCTTGGTCTAAATTATCTTGGGAGCCACTATATGAGCTGTACATCTTGTAGTTGGAACGCTTTTCCACAACTCGCTTGGTTGTTGTCACTGGACTATAGAGAGGTTCGTTGCTGATCACTCCCGTGGGACTACTTACTCTGAAAATATATAAAAATTTATATAAAAATTAGGAATATTATTGAAATAAATTGGAATTATGAGATAATACATCGAAAGAAAGCAATAATTAGATGCAACAAACTATATATTCTTATTACATTTAATAACGTCTATACGCTCACGACTTTGATTTTTAAGGGGGTAGTTAGAAGTTTGTTTATTTTACTACTTTTATTATTAATACTACTACTTTTAAAATATAAGAAAATTCTTTATATTATTAAATTTGTCAAGCATTAATACTGTTATACCTATATGTGTTTGAGTTAGTTAACAAAAAACATTGTTTTTTTTTATACTTAAAATGATATGGAATAAAAGTATCATAGTGAAATATAGAATAAAAATTTAAGTAACGAGAAATACGGTAAAATACTACAGTATTATAATATTATACTACAAGATAGATAGATACTCTTTATTGTTTCCTCCAAAAGATTACAGTAGTAAACTTTATATAGATATAAACAATTACAAGAAATAATCACAATGAGAAAACAATAGCCGACCATATTGCTAAAGGCGATCTCTTCTAGGCAATCTTTGGATGGAGAGGAGTAATTATAAACAATACAAGGTACTAAGTTATTGTCATATCAAATTTTATCTAAATCTGACGAGTCGTTTTTGCGTTACGCGAGCACATGCACACAATCATTACGATTATATTAAATACATATGTATACGTATAGGTAAATTAAATTAATAGATCACTTCGTAGTCATCTAATATAATAGTTTCACAAGTCAGTATAGGAAGTGGTGCAGTCATCTATGAAATTAACATTGTAATTAATTGTTGATAGCAATCAAGTGATAACTATTATATTATAGTAAACATAATGCATGTATAACTATGGAGGCAACGCTCAGAGTATATACATACCTATTCGCATTGTTATGCAGAATATGCTTGATAGTACCTAGATACATGTCATGATATAGCACTAATTGGAATACAAATATTGGTTAATTATAATTCTGCAATTAATACATAAATTAATATTAATGCACCAAGGAGATGTGGGGAGACGACGTATGTGACATATTTATACTAGTAATTCGAAATCTTTTTTTATGCGCTTTTAAAAGAGTAGAGATTTGATATATATATATTATTTTATGCATTTTAACAGAAATTGTACATTATTGAACGGAAATTTATGTTTAAATTGCAAGTGAAAAATGTGCCAATAAATCAGTCCAACAACGACTAAATGATTGGTATTAACGAACGAACTGCGAAAATGTAATATTTCCTACAAACAGAAAAGTAAGAAGAACATATTTTATACTTATGTTACATACATAAATATACCTAACTAATAAATAATTCTCTATAGTTATCAAGTCTAACTACAACCATATTATTCATCTAAATCTGAATAATATAAACTTTTGACACATACCTATTAATTGGACTTGCGGTCCTCAAAGGACTCAAAGGACTGTCTTTTCTTGCCAGCGGACTCGTTGTACGACCTACAGGGCTTGTTGCCCTGAACGGACTACCTGCTCTGTAAGGACTTGTAGACCTATTCAGGTCAAGTCTAGACCCATTTCCCAGATGTTTTGTCGTTATAGGACTTGCAGTTCTATTTCTAGGACTTTCGGAACCATATCTCGAAGTGAAGCTTTCCATTTTATTGGCTCTAGACGTGGAATATGCAGAGTCTGTGATATCATAGCTCTTCTCTTTAGTATCTGAGCTAAAGGATGATTTGTAATAATCGGCTGAGTCACGTCGCTCTTCGCGACGTTCCATCGAGCTCGTATTGTGTTTTGTCGTACTTGAATCGTATAAATTGTAATGGTTCATGGGACTTTCCGATCTTAAACGAGTCACTGCAAGTATAAGTATATAAGTTATTTATTTATTTATTTACGATTTTCTTCACAACATTTTAAATAAAGTAATATTTAGTTAGAGAGGTGTATACTCAGAGAATTAAATTAATTAAAATCAGTAATATAAACATTACATAAATCTTTAAGCCTTATTATACATTACATTTACATTACATTTTTTAAGTAAAATTGAAAAATTTTTGTACTGAAATTCAAAATTGGCATCGCTCCTGATATACCGATTCATACTTTTGAATTAATATTTTTAATATAACTTAGGATGGCAAAAAATCTGACAGCTCTTCTGACGGGAAGTGGTAATCGCTGCCTATTAATATGAACAATGCCACGAGCATTACAGAAATCATAGAATACACTGTAAAGCTTGTAACATTATCACCCTTAAGGATTATGGGGTACTTATGTACCTTGTAATTCCATTACTAAATAATTAAAATTTTTGGCATTTTGAAAAGAAAAGAAAGAATAATTAATATATTTACTGACATAAAAACGTAAGAGTTCCTTTGTAATAGCAAATTTTGAAAACAACGAGAAATATTACTTTGTTTTCAGCAGTACAACTTTAGACCTACATATCTATGACATCATTATATGTGTGATAGTATTCGAACTTACCTGGACTCGATATTCTTGCATATGCCGGGGAGGGACTAGAGCTTTCACGAGGTTTCTTCGACCTCGAACCTACGCGGAACATGTGCGGCGAGCCGTGCACGTCGTATCCGTTAAAGTAAATATACAGCTGCAAAATAAATATATATATAAACATTACTCATCCACTCGTCGTCAGTTTGCTTTTTATTAATAATTACTTTTGTTTTAGTTTTATAATCCCCGATGTAAACTATGTCTGTTTGTGGCATTGTAGCTCCCAAGGGATAAATCGATTTTGATTTACTGTTTATTTAAAACATTTCACTCACGAAAACATAATTAGTGGCTTAATGGTATACTAACGCAGGCTTATAAATAAAACTCGGCTATCGGTATGCTCGGCAAAATGTGGGCATCTCGAGTGTTACTTTCTTTACAATGGTGATCGTTGACTATTACCTCTAAGTACCTCATAAGGGATAACAACCATGAGCCTATTTTTTTTATTTTATCCACATGTTGTAAACACATTCCATTAACATAGGTTTTTGGTGTTTCAATGTTGTTTTTTTTATAATATCTTATTAGATAAAATATTATTAGTATAATTATTCATAATAAGCAAAAATATTAGATATAGAAGTTGGCTTCACAATACAGTTACGTAATCCCTTACAAAGATCTATGAGATTACGAGATGCAATAAGAATAGCATTGAATTTCTTGAATTTATCAGAATTTATTTTACGTTGAGCTCAAACTGTATTACTTATAACAAGCGAACAACATTTCTTAACAAAGCTGCTAATTAATTTTGAAAATGTGAAATTGAAGTTATTTTCCGCAAGACGCGCACTGAGATTTAACAAGCCTGACCTGGCGAGTTTAAGAATTTTTCAACTCTTTCTTAATTACCAACGTAAAAGGATATTGTTTTTTGAAGTAGTATTGTCTACCTATTGGTTACATGTAAATGATTAATTTATATAATTTTCTATAATCATTAGTATGCGTGAAATTACTGTTTTTTTTTTTCTGTACATATTGTTAATTATTATAATCTATATGATTCTTGAAAGAAAACAATAAAGTTTTCATTCATTCATTCAAAGTTATATTTTTTGTGTATGTTATGCGATATCTTTGACATTTTTGAACCCATTTTGATAATTTTTATTGTAATCAATAGTTTACTTTTGTATTAGCTTATTTTAACTTAGTCACGATTAAAGTTGTAATTTTTTTGAGTAAATATATTATTTTAACTTTTCGTGTTTATTACAACATTTGGGTAAGCTAAGCTTGTTACTATTTCAATATTATCTTTTCTTGGTCAATTTCTGATTACGAAACTTTATAGGCAGATCAACAAATAAGACATAGTGTGTATTAGAACTCTTGGTACTGTTCAGTTCGGTGGTAGTTTCGATTAGCCCACTTGCATAGATTTTCCTGCATCGACCGATATGAGTCGTGAGTTGATTGATGGATTTCCATTTCCTATTGTTGACATGGCGTGTTAGGAACACGTACGTATACAGTAAAGGAAATATATAATCATATACCAATAAACTATTTCATTTTTACGGCTTTTGTTATAGATTATTCTTGAGATTAATCATATTTTTATGTAATACCTGATGGAAAGAAATTGAGTCTGTACAATTGACGTGCATATAAAATATTTACGAGTTATTAAAGTAAAATTTAAGAAGTTTTTAGCCTATATAAAATCTGTCACGTATAGACAAACATTCGAATATGAGATAGGCAACCTTTACCACTTATCAAACTTAAATAATTGATTCCTACTATACTCATTGTATAGGTTGTAAGGAGATAATTAAAATTTACTTGTAGATACGTCTACACTTTTACCTGTACATGTATACCTATTGTTTTCTGTGTAATTAATTTGGCAATAATATAAGACACATTTTATTGCCGCATAAAGTATACAAAAACTAGATGTTAACTAAATTAGTATTTATATACGAGTATGTTAGAAGGTATTGGTACTGTGTTTTCTTTTTTTGATAGAATAAAGTAATAAAATGATAATATAACGGTTTTAATAATTTCTATAAAACGGTTGCTTTTATTCTGCACAATTGAGATTTGAGGCTAATTTAGGAAAGGAGTTTGCCAAATTGGCTTGAGTTTACGTTCACTGAGGCATCTAAGATACTTGTATTTCATTGCAGAATTCTCAGAGTACACAAAGTACTTTAATTTGAGAAAAATCATTATAATATCAAGTTAAGATTGAGTAATTGGATCCAATTATCAGAAATTTATTTTGTTGACGTCAAATAAATTTCTGTTAATTCAATCTATTATTAAATGAAATATTTAACTGTTATCATTTATAAATATTTATTTATGATTTCACATTTGACAATTTGTTAATTACAAATTGTTATAGAATTATTGTTAAAATATAAAATTATATTGTAATAATATTTTTTTAATAATATTTTAATAATATATATTAATATATTTTTATTTGTTATTATTTTTATAATTAATGGTTAGTTTTGTGACTTTCTAATAAATGTTTATTACATCGATTAAATTATTACATGACATTATATTAAAAGACTTGAACTTTCTTCCAATATCTTCATTCTTAAATTTGTATGTTATTATTATTATTGTTGTTAATTGAAGTTTAACAATACTCACTCTATGTTTTCCAGGCGCCTTTGGCATGAATGTAGCGCGGTACTTCGTTGCTGATAGCTTCTCAAGAGCGCACATGACGCTGCGTTTGTCATGAACTATATCTAATTGCAGATCACCCTTCACACCACATCCGCTAGTGTCCAACTCGAAGGAATGTGGTTTGAGAGGCTCAGCGCCTTCCAATGCTCCAGGACTGAGGCGAACACCAGCTGGGTCGAACACTTCACAGGTGAATGGACCACCCTAGAATAAAATATTTTAATCACACTAAAACCAAGTAAAATGGAAAATGAATTAATATAATGGACTAAAATGGAAATTAGTTCTAATGGTAAAACCAGTGTAAGGAACAACCAGTGGTCCATCGTCTTGAGTATACCCCAAATGATTATATTACAATTTGAGATATACGCTGAGTCCGAAGGTATCCATTGGATGCTTTGTAGGAAGGTGAAATTATACGGTACGAAGTCACAGCATTTAGATCTTAGGAATGGAAACACACGAGAGGTATCATAGTAAATATATATGTATGTAAATAAATATTTATTTCTCTCACAAAATAATAACATAATAAAATTTACAGCTATATATTTTAAAACAATCTTTGTAAGAGACTGGTGTCGGTACCCGTCTTACAGAACACCAGGCTCCAAATTCAAGAACATCTATTTTACTTGATTTGTATAGGTAAGAGTATACAAATTAATAAATGAAATTAGAAAATTTTTATAATCTACGTGTATAGTCATCATAGGGTATTCTGTAGTGTTTGTAATATTATTTATGTCGTGATGATGGTTATCACTTTCATTCCAAGCCAGCCGGCCGATGTCAACTTGTTTGCCATTCTAGGTGACATAAAAACCTATTCTCAAAAAATCCTAGCGTTTATCCTATATGTTTACCTGTATATGCTCGCCTTTGTAAGTGATAGCTATAGTCCATACACCAGCTTCGTCAGGTTGGAAGGTGGCGCTAGAGGCAGTGGTGCCGGGCGCAGAAGGCGGTGGGTGTCGCGCTTGCAGCGGAACAGCTCGACCGCTAGGCGAGTGTGCTGTTACATCAATATCTTCCCTTCTTGGTGCTCCTGAATTTAAATAAATTAAAATCATAAAAATAACACTGGTAGTAATAACTGGCATTAATTTCCGAAGTAAACAATTATGAAGTAACTTTTTATTATCTTTTTCGTTTGGAAAACGGAAAAATGTCAGGATACGGGAGCAAAACGTCTTAGTAGTCAAGAATAATGCATGAGGATTAGCATGGGTATTATATAATATTCTATCCATGGTGTTGTTCATATCTATAGAATAATTATCACTTTTAATCAGATTGTCTGTTAACTTGTTTGATATTTCAAGAAGCAAAAATCATAGAAATTATTTACATGGGTATTGCTTTATATAAGTTTGTAGATATTGTAACTTTATAGAACTTTTCAAAACAGCATTCATATTCAAGGAAGTCTTGTTCTGACATAATAAAAAAATATTAATTGTTAACTTCGAAAACCAGTGTTAATTTTATATTTTTTCTATTCCATCTATTTTTGTAGTCAAGTACTTTGTAGGAATGGCATCCTCGACTTTGAAGAGGTAGATATAGCAATGAAATTAGTGGGTTTACTATGGTTCAGTACTGTATTTAGGGGCCAGCAACGTGTGAATTAGTTCTCTGGTCCTACAAGCTTTTATAGGTTACCATAGATGTGCGTTATCAGGCATACTGTGTAGTATGCTTGATGTATAAAAAAAAATAGGAAAAATATTATTTAGGATTTACCAGTAGCACTGACTAGAACCTCCACGAGACTACCAGCGGCGCAGGGCGCCATGCCTGGCGGTGGGACCATGACCAGCCTTGGTAGCACCCTGAAGAAATATCTTCCATCCACTCTAAAATAAAATACAATTAGAACATTTTTTAAATCACGATCATTTCAAGAGTGTGTGGTTTGTTAAATTCAAAAGTAAAGCAATAACGAAAAATACTGAAAGGAATCTTGAAGTCAATTTTCATGAAGAATATCACTGTATTATTATGACCTGACAGTGTTACTACAATAAACGATAAAATTTTTATAAATATCGTTAATATAGCTGCTAAAGGAAATAACGTATTGAAATAAGTCTATAACCTATACCGAGGTTGGATTTCTGAAGGTGAATTGTATGGGTATATATGACAACTTTCGCATGATTGGCGCTGACTGTTGGTCGGTCGGAAAGTGTAAAAAGGTATATCTTTATCCTTAATTCATTAATAAAGAAAAAAAAAATGTTGTACAAAAAACAGTGGCTTCAATTGTGACTGCAGCACAAAAAATTATCAAAATCAGTATAGAACTAGCGAAAAAAAAACAAATACATGGTAATCTCGAGATCCATTTTCATCCCAAGGGCTCCAAGACTTCTCTTAGTTAGTATATTTTGTGACTTCTTATGTTTGGGATTACAATCCTTATACTTTGGGGGGAAATTGTTAGCAATGGAGGTTGACAGTCCTATTGCTAGCAATATGCTATCAGGTCGATCTACATGTGGAAAGCATCGTGAACAATTCTTGTTGAATTCGTCACGATGGGCTAACTGGCCTGCTTCATCCTCACTTATCATCTTTCAGTGGTGCCCCGCCGGTGTATACCGATAGCGTGGGTGGGGTTACCATTCCATTATCACTCATAAAAAAAAATCCTTATACTTTACATACTTGAAAAAAATTTCGCTCGAACTCATAAGAATCCAATGATTCTGGGTTACATTTTTGTATAAATTTTATTTTAATTTACATTTTTAATCAAATTACACCTCGGTGATAAATACTGCTATCGGTTTTAATACATGCGATATAACGCGATGTACTCGCCTTAACCATGTTGGATTTGAATCAAATATGCTCAAGAAAATATGGGCAGGTAAATAGAGTGTTACGTTCAGTACAATGGCAACGATCGATAAAATGGCTCATATGGGATTACAGTCGGAAATACATTTATTTACTAGTTGCATTTGCAACTTCGTTCCTATTGTGTTAGAAATTTGTTACTAACATTATCTAGAAAACTTTCATGTAAACAAAAATGTCCTCTGCGTTTTTCTCGATTTCATTCAATAGTCGCTTTCATCGATATCACTAGAATCATATCGACTTGACTCTAACAATAAAATATCCTTGCACCATTTTTAAATAATAGATATAAAACCTACTGTGCTATTTTCTCGTAATAACATAAAAAACAGCCAGCCTGACGTCAATTCTAAAAAAAGTATTATACATTGATGCTCCGATAGCCAAGGCAAATTACTTCTGCTTCCAAGTGCATTCGAATAGGGCAGAGAAATGTACATACAGAATAGTTTAATATGTGATCCTACTGGGAAATAGGCGTGAAATGGATCAACAAAGAGAATAGTGGAACTCACCTAATATCGTCAACTGTGAGCACTATTTCGTGCATGCCGGCGTGCTCCGGCACGAACTCACCGGCCCCTCGGGAGTTCAGTTTCAATACAGACTCCTGTTCTAGCGGATTAACGATGGACACTTTTACGTCTGATATTGAGAGCTCGTTCGATATGGACTCTACTCTTATATACGTCTGTAAAAATACACATAATGAAGCCACCACAAAACATTATTGTTTACCGAGGGAATAAAGTGGCCAACTATCAACGAGTGTGGCAGTTAATCGCCGAATCAAAGGAAAATCTTATAAAACGTACTTATGTACTTCCATTTAAGAGTTACTTAGTGTTTAAAAATTAAAGTATAACTTATTTGCCCATATTTAATTTCTTATAAGTTGTTGCTATTGTTAAAAGTATTGTCTATTATCAAGATTTATTTCTATTTTATATCTATTGTCAAGATTATTGAAATTACAAAAACTTACCTCTTCTCCAACTCTTCCAGACGTAGAGTCAAGAGCAACTCGCAACATATCATGCACCGGAGGTCTTGGAGCGACATTGCGGAATTGAGTAGCCCAGGTCATCACCCCCAAGTGTTCAGTTTCGTTTTGACTCATATCCTTAGCTGATAATACTGGTTGAACTCCTACAAGACGAGAAAAGAAAAGTCTTTGTAGAACTGAGGATTTTGTTTCGGAGAATAATTATTAATTTACCTATATGTTATTTATGTACACCTGGTCCCTTATAGTCAAAGCAAAGAGTGTCAAATGCACCATCTTTATTATATTTACTTTTAAATTTCATGGATCTTGTAATAATTTCGTATTAATGGCATTGATTCTCTATATACATGATGAAGATTAGCCTATTATTATTACGCTGATATGCAGGATTTGATTTTGAGTTTTTTTTTTCTCTTGCAGTTTGAGGGCGTAAAGGAAAGGTGATAAATTTTACTTTAGTGTTCAATGATAAGTACTGTGTTAAGTTTATTATACCTCTTAAATATACACCTTCATTTTTTCTCAAGCATCTCTATCCCATTTTAGATATTCAGATGCCCAGCAGACATAAAGAAATTACAAGGTTTCTACTTTGTTCATTTAGTTGCATTCATTTATTTATTTTAAAATATTATAAAATTATTACTGGGTAGGTAATCTTACCAATTTTCTTAGCTGCATCAATGGCATGCTGATTATTTTCTTCCCATCGGGCGGGATCGCGTCGCAATCTGTTCGGCGGTAGTGCTGGTCCACCCATTGATCTTACTAGTTCATTGGCCACTCGACCATCGTTCCAATCAGTCTAATAAATGAATTACAATATTTATTTTTAGGATATATACATATGAATCCTTACTTGAATGATTATAGATGAATATTATAATATTATGGTAATGGTATGGTTATGGTAATTGAACGATATCTGTTTATGGAAATGTTTAAGAAAAATTTATATGTGGGGTTTTAATAAGATTAATAGATGCCAAAACAAAGATTTTTAGAAATTTTGTTTTTCTGTTTGTCTGTTTTCTTTTATACCACGAAAGTGGCAAATAAGCATACAGCCTGCCTGATAATAAACGGTTACTGTAGTATATGGACATCCATAACATTAGGGGTACACTATTGTAGTCCTGGGCCTCTAGACAAGTGGCAAGCGAATTCGTCGATTGAATCGACATCGCTAGCGAGTCCGTGAGATAGAATGAGATAGCAATGCAAAAAATATCAATGAAAAAGTTTTACTTTAATCTAATCGAAGATTTAAACAGTGTATTGAACAATTTATCCGTTTGCCGAAAAATATTGGGTAATGTTTTCAGCATAAACGAATTTATTGATAGAATTATTATCACTAACAAGTCAACGAAATAGAAAGAGATGGCGATGTGCGCTTTCTTGTTCTTTTTTTATATGAGCGCTAACCAAAACCTGTCTATAGTTAGATTCGTTTGTATTTTGTCTAAGGAGCTTGTGGGCGCTTCACAATGTTTTTTTATACCACGAATGTGGCAAACTAGCATACATTCCGTCCGACGTATGTACAGTTTAAATATAAGCAATCAACTAGGTTAGGATATTATAAAAGTTTGAAATATTTATTATATTTGTGATACGTGACCATTCCATTTGGCATGTGATTTACTCGATAAGATGATAAAATATTGTTCACGGCTATTACGTCATAACCAAACAAATATACCATTTAGCTGTAGCACTGAATCCTACAAATTGTTTAATAGATATTTTTATAATAGTAATTTATATATATGTATTTTGAACTTTGAAAAGATACTTTAGAACGCTTAATCACACTTATTTAAGTAAATGTATTTTAATGAAATTTGGTACACACAACCATAACTTGGATAAACACATAAGATCTTAATCCTAATTTATGCAGGTAAAGGTATGATATAACTAGTGGTTCATAATTGTTAAATACAAATATTTTAAACTCACTGTGAAGTTTGTTATACCCCTCTCCAGTCGCGAATTTACAAAGTCAAGCGTAGCCCTGTACCCAGCGGAGCCAGGTTTCATGAAGTACGACAAATAAGTCATGCCAGAAAGCTCATCTAGCCATGGTGAGGCAAGGTATTCTGGTTCCAATACCATAGGGACGTCGAGCTCTCTGTGAGCTAACTTCATCGCTCGACGACAATTCTCTACGGCTTCGTGACGATCTGAACGGTGACAAATTCTTACGGTCATTTTAAGTATTAACACAGATAATATAATTGGTATTTTTTTTTAATGAATGATAATGGAATGGTAACCCCGCCTGCGTTAACGGTATACACTGGCGGGGCACCAGTGAAGGGTGACAGATGAGGATGAAAAGGCAGGTCAGTTAGCCCATCGCGATGAATACACTTGGAATTCAGCACGATGGTTTCCAGGGGGACCACGAGGAGGTCGACCTGTAAGGGTATATTGTCAGCAATGGGACTGATCCAATCCCTTCCCCCCAATATAATTGGCATTAGTAATACATGTTTGACAAAATAAAATAATAATAATGTAATTTTATTATTGATTACCATTTAATTATTCGAAGCAATTAGAGTAAATCTTATTCATTATCAGAAAACAATTTAAAAAGTTATGTCAGTGCAATCTATAATAAATAGTTATCGGAGCAATCTGTTCAAAATTGGTACAGCAACATTTATAAAACATAGGAGAATTATAATTAATACTTTTAATGTATTGCTTTATAATATCTAAATAAGATAAAGAAGCTGTAACAGAAAGAAGAAAAAGCTATATAAAAAATAGCTAATATTGGCATATGATTATGGCACAGTATAGAAACGGCCTATATTAAGCTTTGAGTACATATAGGAGTATACTGATATTAATGATGATGATAATGATAGTGATGAAGAGAAGTAAAAGTATAAGTAGAAATCTACCGAGATAGTATATCAGTTCAGTATTTTTCTTATAGATGCTAGCGTATCAATAAAAACAATGAGGAAATTGATATAATGGAGCTATCTATCACGCGGGTCGACATCTTACGGGATAATGAATAAACTATCTCAGCATTTTATCTGCGTTGTTACCACTTCTGAAATTAGGATCATCGCCCACATAATTGTAGACGTATTCATAGTAGGTTTTGTACCTTGTAATCATAAAGATTTTGTTGTAAGCAGAAGCAAGTTAATAAGGCTGTTTGGCTTGTATTATTTAACTAAATTTCTTATTGTATTTTTTTTATATTTGATACCTATGGTATAATACAAATACTCATTAATGCTCATTACAAATACTGATTTGTTCTTCTATCATTGACTTATGATTGTGACATTATCTATTGAACTCTAAATGTATATCATAACACTAACGTATCTCTATTTTTTAAATGAATTAAATCAATATTTACCTATAGTCTATATCATTTATATGACTGTAGTGTATATAAATTAAAGATATAGCAATTTTTTCAACTGAGGATCCTACTACTGCTTCACGTCTAATAACATTTTAATATATGACGAGTCGTATTCTTAATGATATTCAAGGAGTAAATGTTGACAAATAGTGACATTATTAAAATTGAAAGAATTTTGTAATGTGTGATAGATCGAAATATTTTTTTTATGTGGAAATAAAATTAAATACCTTCCATATCTAAATGAAAGTAACAAGAAGTTCCATATTCTTTGAGAACTGTATATGAATTTTATTTTGTTACAAAACTTAACTATTTATGAATGTATATTACATTGTCAATCTGGTCAATATTAATTTGCCTTATAACAATATTACAATTAAAAGTACGATACTTACTTAGTTCCCGCCAATGAGGGAATGTACCAGGCTTACAATAGTCAAGTAACGCAGAAAGTAATACACCACTGTTCCAATCAGTCGTCAGGTTGTTAACACGGCAGTCTGGCAGTGCAGACTGTAACCACGATAACATTAGTTTTCTGTAAAAAAATATAATATTTATGCATTTTTTGCACATAAAATTTAGAGCCAGCGTGAGTAGGTGATTACCTATAATTGTATAATACTTATCCCTAAAAGAAACCAGTTAACTTAACAAGTATTTACTTCGTAAACAATGATAGTATATAATTTTCATAAATATCTAAAGTAGTTGTGTGTTACTCTGTCTCCTTTTGTGATGAGTAATAAATGCATTCAAGGAAGGGGAATTCGTACGTACGAATTACCGTTCGCACGAAAGAACGTTCTTATATCAGCCTGACCAAAAGACAAGATAATTTAATACAATAATAGTATCAAATATAAACTCTTATTAAATATTTCATGATTTATAATAATCTCGCTAACTTATTTCTATGCCCTATAAGTTAATTTTGACTGATTTAAACAAAAATCTTCATAAATCGATTAAGTTGTAACCGTATCTATATATAAGCATAATAATCCCCTTAGCGAAGTTCACGTTCTCTTTAGAAATTTGCACTTTATTTTAATGATATTAAATGTCGCGTCACAAAATACTCTCATCGTTACTAATGATCAAGGTAACTCGAGAAAATGACGTAACGCCGTAGGGTCGCGCGTGGGCCAGCCCCCGCACACTATTGGTGCTCTGTTTTACTTTGGTCGATGGTAGTAATAGGTAAAAATACTTTTCTAATATATATATTTTTTTATATAACTTAGAATGGCAAACAAGCTGACGGCCCACCTGATAGAAAGTGGTAACCATCGCCTAAAGACATGAGTAGTACCATGGACATAACAGAGTATACTGTTTTGTCCATGATACTCCCCTTGCGTTGCCATTCCTGAGGACTCAGGTGTTATTCCTCCTTACCTTGTAAATTCACACCATATCCCACCCTTCAAACTGAAACACAGCCATGCAAACACAACTGCTTCACGGTTGAAACACGAATAGGACAGAGGTACCCAAGCAATCGACCTTTGCACATAGTCTCCCTCTGGTAAATATAATAAACATAATAGCGAGTCTTCTGCATGGATGCAGAAGATAAAATCAACGCTATATTTGTAATAAATAGTGGACTGACTATCGTATTAATTCCGTACGACTAAGTAATGAGGGTAAATATGTAGTAATTATCGATATTCATGGTTCTGTAACGTATCTTTACTAATATTATAAATATGTAAGGAAGTTTGATTGTTACCTCCTGGGTCTTAAATAGTTTGACCAATCACAATAAATTTTGGTATACATGAATTATATGAGATGGAGAAGGGTATATAGGCTATCGATAGTTTATCGAAGTATCCTATATAGCAGGGAGGGCCGACTTGACTAGACCCATGATCTACCATTTACTGATGTGCGATCTACAAATACATACTTCCTGTAATACCCAATGAATCAACATAATTCAGTACACAATTGTGTAGTATTTTTTATTTTATTTTATTTTATTTTTGTTTTTTATTTTATTAAAAAGAAAACATAAAACTGAAATGTAGTAATTATTTTTAGTAATCACTCTGTCCTATTCATGTTTCAACCGTGAAGCAATAATGTTTGTATGGCTATGTTTCGGTTTGTAGGGTGGGATATGGCAGTGAATTTACAGGGTACAGAGAAATAACATCTGAGTCCTCAAGAATGGAAACATATGGAGGGTGTCATGGGCGAAATAGTATACTCTGTTATGTCTATGGTATTGTTCGTGTCTATAGGCGATGTTTACCTTTTTCTGTGGGCCGTGGACCGTTAGCTTGTTGGCCATTCTAAGTTGCATAAAAAAATTATATCAGTAGCATATAATTATAGCATCTTCCGCTAAATTAGCAGATTATAATATTTTTGCCTTGCCACGATCGACTGGACTAATAGTCGCGATCGACCGTTCGATCGCATCGACTGGTTGGCCACCCCTGATTTATAAAATATAGGATACTATTTTATCTTGGTGAGTGAATATATCCTGGTCACGCGGACGAAGTTACTAGTAAAAGCTAGTGAATTTATATGCATTACGGTAAAAAACAGTGATAAAATAAATTGCAATATAGTATTAAATGTTTAGTATAAAACATAGTTTACTTTGATGTAAGTATATAATTATACGTAACACATTAAGCACTGAAGATATATAATTAAAAGAATCCCGTGCGTGACCAATTACAGAGCAAGCACTTTTAATTTGCAGATTTATTTACCTAACCCAACAGTTTTAATGAAGTTTTATTCGCACAACGTAAATAAATTTGCTAAAAATATTGAAATGTACATATATATTTTTCAGAAATAAATTGAAAATTTTTACGCTTTTTCCGAATCCTCGACGTAATTATTTAGGACAACAACTGGTTTAAAATTTAAACTATTCGTTGTACATAATATCCTGCAATACATTACAGTTTTTTCGCGTTCAAATAATCACTCTATTTAACTTCTCAACAAAGGCTGATAATATAGCTTGCATATTTTTTATTGTGAGTAGTATATTTGCCGATGTGCATCTTAACCTTCTTATGATATCATGGTTATAAAAATAGACATAAGTGAGGACCTCGTATCGTAAACAGGTATATATAGCCGTAATGAAATGCAATAAAGTTGGTTACGGAGGTTATGCTCATGATTTACGTACTTGTCATGATTAAATGTGTCCACAGATAAACTGTTTTTACCCATATGAAACTCAAATTTTGTTAAATATATTTATAAATTAATAATTACAATAAATAATTGAATTATTAATTAAATTAATATATGGTATGTGATGTTAATATTGTGAGCGGTAGTAAAGTAAGTAGAAAGATGCACTAATGGGACATAGGGTATTAAGATTAGATGGATATTACGATATTTATACATAGTATTTAATATAGTAAAAGAAGGAGAGTACAGAAGAAGAACTGTGGAAGACAATTGGAAAATAAGTAGAGAGAGAAAGCGAAGAGATGATACAAAATTGTTTAAGAATTAACATTTTCAAAATACCAAATTCATGAATCAGGTATATTTTTTATGCAACTTTGAATGGTAAACAAGCTGACGGTCCACTTGATGGTAAAAGGTAACTGTCGCTTATAAATACTAGCAGTACCATTGATATAACAGAGTATACTATTTCGCCCATGACTCCTCTTATGCGTTGCCATTCTTAAGGACGTTAATGTTATTCCTCTGTACTCTGCAAATTCACTGCCATATCCCACTCTTGAAACCGAAACATAGCCATGCAAACACAACTGCTTCACGGTAGAAACAAGAATAGGACAGAGGTACCAAAGCAAACGACTTTTGTATGATGTCTCCCTCTGATAAAATTTATATTATTTTAAATGGACGAAAAACTATGTAAATAAAATTTATTGAGCAAGTAGCAGCTAAAGTTTCGGTAAATTTATCAATCTGAAGACAATCTCAAAGTTTGTCATTTATGTTATGTCAATGACCGAATATCCTTTATGAATTTAATTAAAAATATTTGTTAAGGATATTAGAAGTCATTAGTTTAAATTGAAAATAAATGATTCATATAGAGGTTATAATATCTTGACCATCTTTCAACAACATGACTAAAAAAGTTTTTCATGCATCATACCTACGAATAATAAAGTGCTAATTTATCCGTGTACATACGTTAACGCAAGTCTTACATTATATAGTAAATTTTACGCTTAGGTACGCATAGATATAAATCTATGCCTAATAAACGGTAAGATATAAATTAAATATCTATATTATTTTCATTATAGAGATCGTAAGCACATTTTTAATGGTTTTAATATTTAAAGCTTACTCTTAAAAATTCTTAGACTTTTGAATATTTACTGTTAAATTCAATTTCTGTAATTTCGGCGAATAACAGGATAACGTAGATATCTAAATAAAAAAATGCAGATCATTTATTATTTTAGACAGACAGAGACTATTGTAATATAATTGATTGCTTAGTTTTTATAAACTATATGTAATAGTTTCCTACGCAGAATTCTACTATTGAAAATAAGTAAAGATTATGTCCCACAAAAAAATCAACTTTAATTATGACAAAACGAATTATTTTGATCTTAAAATTAAACAATAAACCGATTTTAATAAAATTTCTATCTGTAAGTATATACTCCAAAAAAAAAATTCCAAATCGGTTTAGAACTGACGGAGTTACAAGGTAACGAACTTAAAAAAATACAAATGATTTCAAAACCTCCTTCTTTAAAGTCGTTCAAAAAAGTATCTGATGCACTAAGTACTATTTTAGAACAAAAAAAAAATATATCATATGTAGTCTTAACTCTGACTATATGAACCATAGATCATAATATTTTTTTTCTTAATATATACGTTACACAGTTAATAGATTGTTTCACAACAAGTTACGACTGCTTTTGCATAGGTAAGTTTAGATGCAAATTCAACCGTGAGACATAGACTGTGCCCGCGCAATCGTGTATTGCTAATTACTATTATACCAAGAAATGTTTAACTCTTTAGATACACTCAATTTTCGATAGTTACAGATTTAGTCATTTTATACCTATTACGACATTGCATAACATTGCACAATTGTAAAGTCTACCTACGCTGTGTAAAGGAAAAAGTAAAATACGTTAACTGTGGTTCGATTTCATGATAAAATATGTATATATAAACTCTGTCCACGGCTCGCTTAAGTCACGAAATATATATAATGTTTATGACACTCTATAAACTGCGGGGACGTGATGTAGGTACGTACTATACATTCCCGTAACAATAAGGACTACAATGCTGCTTGTTATGATGATGAAAGATAATTCAAATGATTTATTAGTTATCTTTTCTCACCAGGTTAAATGATGGTTAGACAAATGTATTTATTTATATCCATATATTAAATTAAATTAAAACGAAATATTTCCTCATTTTCAATTGCAAAATATTGTATTTTACGTTTAGAGGTACAATATCCTAGTGCAGGAGAAAAATATTCAGAAATACCTCTTTTATGCAATTTGTAATAGTAAACAAATAAGCTAACGGCCCATCTGATGGAAAGTGGTAACCGTCGCCGATAGACATGAACAGTACCATGGAGATAAATGAGTATACTCTATATTGACCGTAATGCGTTGGCATTCCTGAGAATTAACATATCATGCCACTGTACTCTGTAACTTCATTGCCGAGTATTTATCAAGTATTTTGACATATGAGATATTGTGCATTTTTGGAAAAGCTAAAACTGTCCGTATATTAAGTTATAAATTACAAAATAGTAAAGAGAATACACTGTTTATTCTAATAGTACAAATTAATTTAATCAAATAAAAAAGAATAGCGTCGACATTTAAGTCGTTTAGAGACACAGAATTGTACTCACCTTGGAGGGAATTTGCTTCTACCAATTTGGTATCGAACAATTAGTGACCAGATTAATCCTAATATAAGTTTAAGATTGCCATTGACGATGTCCACATTACCTGAAACAATTTATTAAACTTAAAAAGATTTGATGAGATGATGAGAGATGCCGCATTTGGTATTCATATAGATACAGTATTACTAGGATATTTTATTCAGCATTACCACGGTACGTGGTAAGTCAAACGGCTAAAATATTTTAACAAACTTTCGTTATCTATTCAGATAGGTATTATCTGTGGTGAAAATCCGCAGACCATTAGTACTTAAGGAAACACGCCAGACGAGGATTTCCGTAAATACTGCCGGCCTCCATTATCGTTGCTGTATAATTAATTTAAATTAGAAACTTTTTTTCTTCCTAATACTCCTTGGTAATATAAATAAGAGTAAATTGAATTTATTTGATGGAAGTTACTTCGACGTTATCAATCATTTGTTGTTGTGGTAATTTATATTATAATAATTTAATGTAAATTACTATGACTATTTAAATCTAAATTTGCTTAAATATAGATTGATGAATTGTTTCAGCATGAACTAATTGTAGTGTATATTTAAATAAATTTAATTTTTTAAGGAAATGTCAAAAGTTGCAAATGATAGATCTTCCCAATTAACTTAACTATAATTGTAATACTTAAAATATCATAATATATAAATAATAATAATAAAACTGACTGAAGCATTAAATTTTTGACGGTATATCTCTAGCAAAGTAGATACAAGGTAATTTACAAAGAAAGATATGAACAGGATCTGTACAGAAAAAAAAAGTTGACAGAAAGTTGGGTAGATCAACTAAGTTTTATAACGGATCACGGTTAAGTGTTCTTCATACCACTTCACTATGCTATGGAATATATATTAAAACTATCAATAGTAATTTATCTCGAAATAGCTTATAGGTCTTTCTAGTATTTCCCTTTCTTCTCATGAAGCAATCTCAATTAATTTAGTGAGAATAGTTCTATAGTAAATATTTATCAAAATTGAATTATGTATCATAGTGAAAGTAGAATAAACCCACTTCATCAACGCCTTCGTAAGTCCATTTTAGTTTTATTATGGAACGTGGCATAATGTTACGTATGGTGTCTGATACGATCGCTTTTCTACCTTGCATATGGTGTTTATAAATTCTCCGAATAAGGAATTGTTACGAAAAAATTTGTTATAATTCTTTTATGTATTTGTTTTTGTAACAATTCCTTATATGTAATAAGAAAGTTCACTGTATTAAATAAAATTCAAAACCCTCGATTTAGTATATATATTACTATAAAAGCCCGTTTATTGGTAAACCTTAGGGCTTACCACATGAACTGGTAAATATAAGGTTTTTATAAGAAGAAGATAAACTTTGGGACTTTAAACCAAACTTAACTTACTTTTTTATCAGATGTACGAACACTACACACTTAACATGTCTAAATATTTTGTTTGTTCTTTTAAAAACCTGAATTACGATAAAATGAAAATTTTTCTATACTTACATCAGAGACATAGTGAATATTAAAAAATAGATTAACTTGTGTTGCCTATGCAAGTACTCCTTTTATTCCTAGTTCTCTTAAGTTCTATATTATTTTCTATAATTATTTATCGTAGTTATAGATAATTTTATAATCAAATCTTAAATCTCAACCAAAACAATGGAAATCGAAAATAGGTAACGTCAAAGAAGATTTCAGTTGAATAATGATAACCATCGTCTAAAGATGATGATACATTTTTTTATTGTATAATTTATCGCTATTATTATTCTCTTATAAATTCAGAGAAGTTAGAGTAAATTACTTGTACTTCTTTCAATTATTCATTTAAAAGAAAACTTACCAATATTGACAAGTTTTACACCATCGTCTTCAATAGCTTGGAGGGCTGTGGTGACATTTTCCAATTTGTGATGTTGATTGTTGGGGCTGGTGTTCCAACCTTTCAATCTGCGACCCTGCAAGGCCTCCACCAGTGAACACAACACAGTGCCATCCCTTAAATCTTCAACCAAGTCCACGACCTTAAAAAAAAGAATCAATAAATAAACTCTATTTATAAACAACGATTAAACGTTTCTTACATATTTTTTTTAATCATATTAAATTTCAATTAGTTTGAAGTTTTTGATGGTATAGAGATATATAATACCGCGTTTAAAGCCATAATCATTGGAAGAATAATTTACAGTTTGTTTTCGATTTCGATCCCCGCACAATACAAACATTTATATTTACGAGTTAGTATTCTGCACAGACTACTGTGTATTTCTTATTTATGAATATATTAACTAATATATACATACTTTTTTGGTACTAGATGGCACAGTGTAATATTTAAATAAATAAAATATAAAAATAAATGTTAAATAGCTGAAAAGATTTCAATTTAATTTGGTATACAGAAATGAACACAGAATATTTTATCCTGATTCACATCGGAAGTCGCAGGATAATGGTAGTGAACAATATTACGTTATTCTTTATTAAGTCAGTTTTTTCGATGTGTTTGTTTTGTAATACAAATTGTTTACACTGTCCATACAATTTATTTTCATCCATGACAGAACGGATATCGTATGCATTTGAAATAAGAGGAGTATTTTTGTTTGTATTGATGACAATAATGTTGGTTTGAACTGATTTTGTTGACGTACCTTATATTACATGAATAGATGTGTTTTATCGTTAGTTGTGTTTTCGTTATTAGATTTAATTCATTTATAGGTTAGTAGCACACTTAATCTGGATAGCAGAAAGATTCTAGGTTCGAATTCCATTAGATCGAGTCATTGGAAAATATTTTTTTAAACTGAACTGTTTTTAGGATTTAAATATGCAGTATTCCACACAAATTTTTTTTTATTTATAGTACGAATAATTTATAATACGAATTATGATAAAATTTTTCTATATGTTAATTTTGAAATATGATCTGTCCATAAATTTCTCATATTTTAATAAAAAAAAAAGTTTAGCAGTTGAAGCGTGATGGAGTGGCAAAAATTTAAACATGTAGTCACCCAAACATAACTTTACAAACTTTCACATTTTTAGAATATTATTAAAATTATTACGCGAATATATTTAAGGTAATGGAAAACCTTTCTTTTTTCTATCATTTTTCATGAAGGACCGTTTCACTAATTTAACATATGAAACCTTATGAAAATATTTAGGATAATACTTTCACGAGACATACTTTAGTTTAGGATGAAAATTGTTAGAAGAATAGTCTATTGTCTCAAAAAATCTACAAGAATAGGTAATTTGTATTTTAATAATGAATTTCTTACTATTCTGATTGCAAACAGAGTCCATGTGCACGAAGTTGTGGATAAAATCCTCAATGCTTACGTGAAAAACTTAAAGTAAAAACCTTGATAGGAATCGCAACTGTGGTGACGATCTTGATACTAATTGCGCTACGGAAGCAGCACGGTCCGTATTAATTTCAATATTAATTTGTTTATCATCAATGTGTTTGTCATTAAGTGTGTTGTAGGTGTTTTAAATTATATATGATTTATTTCATACCTGTGGTTTATACTGTATACAATTTGAGATATATAAATATTTTTTTTTTTATATAATTAGATACTTGATAATTTGTAAATGTTTCTTGAAATATATAAAATAGAATGTAAATAGAATAATGTTGAGTCAGGTTATAATATATATCAGAAAATAATGATTCTATTCTATATGTCCAATAAATAATTAATAATAATAAATGCCCTTGGGCATATTACACTCCAGTACCTGGTTTCAAATTAAGAAGAAATTATGTTGTCAGTACTGGGTATTCGATAGAAATATATAAATGTTTTTTTCATAAATACCTACATATTGTTCATAAAAAAGAAATATCTCATTGAACATATTTTAATTGAGTATATTTGGATACTGTAATAAGCATTATGGTAAATAATGCAAATTCATTCAAATTCATTGACGTCCCACTCTTAGATGTAGGTTTCTCCAAATTACAGAAAGATATTAGTGTACTATTAGCATTGGTTAGGTTGCATGCATCTTTTTATGCAACTTAAAATAGCAAACAAGCTACCGGCCCACTTATAGAAAGTGATAACTATTACTTACAGTTGAATTAGGATTTATTTGATTTATTTTGAGGTTTTCTTGGTATGGTGCTTAGTTCTCTTAGATGCTTTTTATAATACATTTTACGATTCTTACTATATGAGTGAAAGCAGTCGTTAGCCGTACATAAAACAAGCAATCTACCTAAGCTATAGAATATATCAGGACATAAATTTTGTGAATTGAAAATCCAAACACGTCAAACAATTTTGAGCTCCCCTTACTAAGTTAAAGTTAACGCTCCGTGCTTGTATGGGAATTCTGAGGCACAAATTGTTTTGTTGTTTTCGACCTATATTTCTGTGGTGCAACAATTTAATTTCACTGGTGGAACACTCATTTAAAAGATTGCCAACAATATTGATTTCATACAGGATTTTATCATACAGAATGGCACTGTGCACTATCTTAGATCATATAGGTAGGGCTTCGAGTCTCAAAAACAGGTAAACTTTTTGTCAGCTAATTAGCTGACTTGTTTTTTAACAGTGTTCTATATATTTACGTACATAATGTATATTGACGTATCTATAATTAATTATTTAATAAATAAAATGTATTTTTATGCTTAATGCATAAAGATGTAAAAATTATAAAACAAAATAACTATAGAAGTTATAAAGGAAACACTCATAACTATTTATCACGCAAATTTGTATGAAAAAGTTGACTCGCTTTTTTCGATGTATTTGTATGGTAATACTCTATTTATAATACAATATAAGTACACTATATATCACGTATATTTGTCTATTTTTACTGTATTCTTATTTTAAAATATATTACACTTGATACCAGAAAAGATTTTCTATTGTTGAATACTAATTATAGTGAGTCATACTGAATTACAATTATTTATAATGGCTTTACTCACGCCTTTGTTTACCTGCGATATAACCTCGAGACGTGCTCATGAATAAGGGTTCCTATCGAGTCCGAAACTAGTGGTATAAACTCGAAGATAAATATGTGTGCAATGCCGATATAAATAATTAAATTATGTACCAGAAAATTACGTGAATAGTAATATTTTCAAGTAGAAGAGATATATCTAAATTAAAATTATAAAGAGAAAAGATTTGATTTTTAGTTGTAATGTTGTCCAAAAAATACTCAATCCATTTTAAAAAGTCTTCGCATTGTTTTTGAGTAATATGAATAGTTGTATTTAAAATAAATTGTGCAAGCCACGACGGGTTGCTAATGCTTTAATAAACCATACAAATTTTATATTAAGTATTAAATGTAATTATCTTTTATTTTTTTCATCATCATCATTATTTTAGCCAGTAGTTGCCACGCTTGGCAGGTGGATTGGTAATCGCAGTCAGGCTTTAGATATGTTTTATGAGGGACGCTGCTGCCCAATCCTTGCCCTCCCTTAGTCACCCTTTCCTATACAGTATAGGTATCGTACCTATACTGTATAGGAAAGGGTGGTGGCTATTATATGCCGGGACCACACGGTCATTATACATATTTATCTATAAGACTTTAAAAAAAATTTTACAAATAGAATTTAGAATAAAAAGAAAAACATATAAAAAACAAAATGAATGTAGCAGTGTTTGTGCAAAGGACCCAACTCAGCATAGAATCTAAATCCTTTAGGGGAACTCATTATTTATACTCATATTAGAGGCAGGATCAACATAGTAGAATACCTATAACATTAATATTTTATATATCAATTCGTAATTATCATAACTAATGCAGAAATACTGAAATCTGCATAAGTCATAATAATAAGAAATACTTTATAATATAGGTATATGAATGTTTCCGACTTGCAAGGTGAACATCAGCATAGTATGTTTAATATTTTAATGAAATAGTTGTATTCCGTGACTTTATTTTACGTTTAGTAGTTTTAAGAGCAACAGACATGCATCCATCCATTTTTCAATTCATTCATCCTTACAAACTTTCGTATTAAATAGGATTTGTTAAACATATGTCATCGATATTTTTGGAAATATATAATATAATGGCATACCTTTATGTCCACTGGTTTTAGTGTTTCGTTCACCCAGTTTCTAAAGGTATTGGCTTGGATTTCGACCCATAAATCTTCATGTCCTTTAATGGCCATTCCTTTAGCAGCTGTCCCCTCAGGGCTCCGCGCAGCCAGCCCGGCTTGGGTGATGCGGCCCGCCGAACCTTCGGCCGAATGGGCGCGCACTCCCTGGTGCGTCACTCTAACGCCTTCCATTGTGGCTTGAATCACTCACTTATCACATTCACTAGCTTCATAATCCTTATTTGGTCTTTGGCACTCCATATCGTTGTCATCTAAAAAATAAATAAAAGGTGATTAATATAAAATATAATCAAATAGCGTGGAATTACATAATGATAAATATTTCTAGTAATCAAAGGAAACAAGTAGATTTTGATGTTAAACAGCTAGTGTAGTAGCTAGTATACATACTACTAATTGCTAAAACAATTGTTTTCCTTGGAAAGTAGTAAATAATATATTTCTATTGATAGACACGTTTTTGCTATCATATACAAATTATTATTAAAAACTTGTTTTTGCTCGCAACTATGTATTTTGGTACAGGTGAATTCTGGTGTATAAATCAAAATAAAATATTTTGATACGCTAACTATTATATTAAGGTAAAATATGCATTCGATTTTAAATTAAACCTTCAGGAATACAACTGTGAAAATAGTATGCAATTTCATGTTGTAGTTTTTACGTAATACTGAAACAAATATACAGACAGACAAACAAAAATTCTAATAATTATTATAATTATTATTTTTGGCTTCTATTGCTCCTATTGAGATTACTCAGGTCGATTTTCCCTAAATATTTTCTATTTACAAACATTGCTTTGTTATACATATTTTAATTACAATACGAGTAGTAAGATCAAATATATAGTGATATTATTATAATTATTACGAATAAATTATTTCTTTCTTTCCTTCTATTAATAAATAATTTAAAAAAATAATATTCAGAATAATATCGTGAATAAAATTAAGTAAATCATTGTAAAATAATCTGCGTATTATAAATACTTATTCGTATTTATATGTAAACAACATATAAATATGAATAAAATTGATATTTCTTGTTCTTTTCGTTGTCTTGTTGATTCCTACATAATGAAATCGTATCTGTCGATAATTTCGTCTGTCACTTGTCTAGAAGGGAGGAGTCAGTTATTTCGCCATATATGTCGACGATCCACGAGTTGTGTGAAATCATTGAAGTGTAATTATATGAGGTCCTGATGTCGATTCTTTTCCAAGAAACTTTACTAACTTTATTCGCTATATTAACTATAACTATATAGATATATTCTTATATGTGTACACATTCTTTACTTAAGAATACATAGTACGTATATACATTTATTTATATGCGAAGGTATATGTAAATAAACTATAGATATCTTTTACAGAAGAGTTGGTTTTGTCATATGAATAGTTAACGAAAAATTTCATAAAGCATGGTAATTGTTATAATAAATAATTTTAAAAAATTTGTGTATATCTGATACCATATAATATTACTGTATAAAGTTTTTTTTTATACAACTTAGAATGGCAAACAAGCTGACGGCCCACCTGATGAAAAGTGGTAACCATCGCCTATAGATATGAGTCGTACCATGGACATAACAGAGAATACTATTCGCCCATGATACCCCACATGCGTTGCCATTCCGAGGACTCAGATATTATTCCTCTGTACCCTGTAAATTCACGCCATATCCCAAAAAAGTATTTGTAACTTCGTTTACATGGTCATCGAAATTAATTTTGATATATATTTTTTAAATGTAAATAAATAGGAAGAAGATTCCGCTTGCCCTATTGGTTTACGCGGGGAGAGAGAGAGAGAGATAATAAATGAGGATAAAGTGGATTTAGTTGGCCCATCGTGACGAAATCCAGGGAAATGGCGTGGAGAACGACCTGATATAGTATCTATATTGTTAGCAATGGGGCAGCCGGTCTCTTTTACCAAATTATTCATCCAATTAATTGATATTCTAAAATAGGTGATTTTTCGTAATTTAATTATCCAATCTAAAGACTTAAACTTCAAAAAATATTTTTATTAAAGTAAACTTAATTATAAGCATTTCTGAGTAGTTTATGTCTCTACTATACAATAGAGGGAATAAGGTTTATCTCCTAGTTGACTGAACTGGGTCAGATAATAGGAATGTAGAGAAAACATAAATACATTGGTATTGTAACTAATGTAAATCACTGCATAGTATAAAACAAAGTCGATTCCCGTCTGTCTGTCCCTATGTATGCATAGATCTTTAAAACTACGCAACGGACATTGATGCGTTTTTTAATAGGTAAAGTGAATCATTAGGAAATTTATAATACATGCATAATATAGTGGAGAAATACTGATAATTTTAGAGATTTCTGAATGTAATGTCGTAATGTAATGAGAGGGCCGGCGGCGCTATTTAGTATCAGCATTGCACCCGTGCGAAGCCGGGGCGGGCCGCTAGTATACCATAAATAACATTGACACTATGACACTACGTATATTCGTCTTTACTAAATAGATTAGTCCCCTGACATAGTTCTCTTGGGCGATCTCTGTACTGTTCTTGTGACTCGTCAGAGGAGTTTGAGTCTTAAACTTTAGAACAGATTGCTGACGTATTGTCACCGGAGCTTTGATTGATGATCGTTTCCAACATCATTTGTTACTGCGTCGTTGTGAGTTTATACAAAAGACCGAGTTGGTTGCCAACAGTTACGGCACAGCTTAGGTTTAAATGACTTTAAAAAGAAAAGGTTTTTAATTAATCTAATTTTTTTTCGCAACTATGTTACGATTTCGTCGTCAATTTTGAACCAATTTTCACAATTCTGTTGCATTTGATAGTCTTCATTCCCGTATTAGTAAAATTTCTTTGCGGAGCAAAAAACTTGCTAGTAGCGATACAAAATCTACATGTTACTATTTACAATATAGGTTTTCTTCGAAACATCTCCTTGTTGAATTCGCTTTGTTACTTATTTCATTATACTATAGTATCTGATTGTTTTTTTGTAGTTCATATTGTTAAACTACAAAAAATTGTGCGTTTATTTATGAAACTATGATAATAAAATCTTTAATATATTTAATCTTGGAAGTAAATCCATCGTCAAGCGTCCAGGGAGACACCTTCTAAATAGATTAAGGAGCTCGTTTGAACCAATGACATGGAAAAATCGTAAATATTTCACGATATTTAGATGGCATTAAATTTTCTGTTCCATCCTTATTGTCCTGCCAGGCAACAAAACGGCTATAAATGAAAGAAGGGCCAATAAATCCCACATGTAATCCCCGCGTGGGGCGCGCCGGGAAGACGTTTGGAACGATGCTTTTTTCTAATTACATCGAAAATTGTTTTCCTCCTCTCCATTTCTTGATTATGCTGATGGGAAAGACTTTCGATTTATTAATGGACTAGAAGACAATTCAGCGGGTACGGAACTTGATAATTTCTTTTTTATTAGACACTAGTACACATCCGCGACTTTGTTCATCATAAGTCTACCAATTTCTATTAGCATGTATATTTCTAAAAATCTTTGTAGAAGGCTGTATCGCATATTGCTACTCCGTATAATTTGATATATAGTACTTGAGAAGTAATATATTTACTTATTTATTTTTAAAGCTTTTAAAAACGCTTACACGCTAATAAACTGATATTCATATTGCAATGATGAAATAAGAAAAATGAATGAAAAATTATAATATAAACGTAAAAATTCATTAGATAATATACTAAAAATTTTCTTATGATCATCGACAAGATTTTTATGTAATTAATTTAGAGTTATAATCTTTCATTCACTTTGTTTTAAAATAGTTTAAAAACTTTAAGCAACTATATAAATATTACAATATACTTGTATTTACTCATAATTTAATAACATTAAACAATATAAACTGTAACCTGCGGAATTTCCCATATACATTAAGATAAAAATTTATCCTCTGGTAGTTTTTCCATCCTTTTGTGTGTTGTCCATTTGTGTATCAAATTCGATACCTTTTAAATATTATTGAGTAACAAACATTTTCACAAATTGAACAAAAAGTAGACATTTTCATATTATAAAATTAGTAGGATAATAGTCTATTCGAAAGATTAAACATTTTATTCATTTTGCAAATTGTAACAAAAGTTATAAAAGGTATAAATTTGTTGGAACTTTGCAGACTTTCAGTAAATATTATATAAGCGTGTGGGTGATCACGTTTAAATTAGTTCGATTCTTATATCATATATATATAACAATATTACAAATATTCTATTATACAGAGCACGTGGGACGAGTGTTTGTTAGTGCGACGCAACATTCAGCTAATGTTGACCCGCGTCATGTCTATTTTAATTCACATTATCATATCTATATACAGCTTAAATACAATAAAAAACTATTCAGTAGCATTATGAAAATATCACCGTTGTACAAGATACCTAATTCTTTGTGAAATATCCAACTTTAGAATCAACAAGAGAATTGAAATGTAACACAGTTAGATTTTTACCTAACTTTTATAACACAGTACCTATCTATACTGGCATAATAGTTGATATAATATATATAAATGATATTGGAAAAGTAAGAATAAGAAATAAATAAAAGATAGTTTGGATAATGGTTATGCTCAGATAACTAATAATTAAGTATACTTTGTCGCTGATAGTCATTTACTTAGTTATTATTAAATTTCTTTCATTCAACCATTCAGTTAACTCTATTTTAAGTGTAATAAAACAGCTTAATGTTATACGATAATTTGTGATTCCACGAAAAAAAGAAATGTATTCAGTTATAGCAGAATAAAGATAATAAAATTACACTCGATTGCAAAAAGTAACATAATAATCGATTCAGAATTTGCGAAGTTATAGCGTAACGTGTCGAAGTTAGAACATCCTTCTTTTTGTAAATGTTTAAAATATAATTCTTAAAGTCATTCAGCAACCAGAAATTCGGTACGTATGATTTCGACATAGATTAGGCTATCCCTTTCTTTCTTATGGGTGTCTTAAGAAGCGACTAAAGGAATTTAATGATCGAAGGATGGAAAGCAGCGTTTCTTTTTAAATATCACTAAAAGCCTAACTGCGGTTGCCAGCCCGCCTGCTAAGCATGGCAACTACTGGCAAAACCTCTCAATAAGAGGAGGCTTAAGTTCAGCAGTGAATAGTTATCATTTAGCAAGTCAATTTTTATAGCCGGCGTTACAAGTTCTAATTCTATCGTTAGAGTAATAACTCGTATTG